CACTTAAGTTGCTTTCTTCTTCTGATGTTTCCTTCTACAAATCCTAACAGAATTTTCTCTTTCCGTTTTAACTGCAACACGGACACAGTCTACATTCAACAAAAGTACTTAGCAGACAGAAACTGCGTTGACCAGACATCCAAGATCGTTAAATATATTTATATATTCATGTAAATAATGGTATGGTGTTTGTCCCGCTCGAAATCCATTTCATTTATTGCAAAAATATTCTAGATAAAATAACATCTCTTCGTAAAATTTGGTTGAGGAGAAAATGTCTAAATCTTCTATTCGTGTTCAATCTAACCTCAGAACATTGAATATGTTAGAAAGCATACTGTCTCCCAAATAATCTAATTCCATCGTTTCTAGTAGTGTTATTTTAGAAATTACGTAATGAAATACGAATATTATCGAGAAAAAAATAACTAAACAGAAAATGAAGCTTAAGGACGTAACTTAACTTCTAAATTTTTAAATGAAAGAGAAACACGCCAATGTGAAATTTAAAATTAGGGGGAAAAAGTCTTTTGGAAAAGGTTGAAATAGATTTTAAATAAAACTCTACTGATTTCGAGGGCGTTGCTCCTGAAGAATATGAACCTACGTCTGATTGCCCTCGATTTCGAGAGAATTTTATTCAAAAGCTGTTGCAAAGTATGGTTGCTTTGCCTAATTTAAAATTCTAAATTTCTCTTTAGAAATGTAATAGTTGCATGAGAATAATCTGATGGCCAAATGGAAGCATGCCATTTATTGCATATCCTATTGCAGTAACCCCAAACTTCTTCCGTTCCAGCACGAAAAGCAACTAAGCATTGATGCATATCAGACCAGAAAATGGACAGCAGTTATCACTGGGGTCTGCCCAATACAGAACTGCCGATAGCATAACTGTCATGGCCACAGTGATCGACAATTTTGATTTAAAAAATTTAAATGGAGAAGTAGAGTTTCAGTGAACAGTTTACGGTGTATTTAATTATGGCAAAGCACACTAGGGCTATCTGCCTAAGGGGAGGGATGCCTTCGTGGAGGACTTTCTAAGGGAAACTGGCTCGTATACACGTTACACATGGGGAAAACCACGAAAACACCCATGCAGCCAGCCCGTTCGCGGGATTCGAACCTCGGACCGAACTACCAGTGTTCAGCGACTTTACCGCTCGGCCGCTGGTGGGCTCAGTGAACAGTTTAAGCCATCTTTATTAATATAGAGTGTCCCACAAAGGGGTTTACACTCTTTGAACTTTGAATGGTGACAAGTAATTGAGATGACTGGAAACCTTTTCTTTGAGCAATGTAAGTGGATTTTAATGTTCTTTTGGAAATATGAAAACATGAAAAACGATGGCGAACGGAATTTGATACTGTGCCACCGTCACGCATAAAAATTATGAAAGTTTGAGAAGGAAGGAAATGTGGATAATATGAAGAAGGGACGTAGTGGGTAGGAAAAAAATCGGTATCACACGAAAGAGGAGTGGAAACAGGGTCGCAAGCTTTCACAAGTTCCTCCAGGAAGTCCATACAGTACGCTTCGCGTAAATCAGGTATAAGGAAATCAAGTGTCCACAGCATTTTAAAGAAAACAAAGTGGAAACCCTACATTCTAAGGTTGCTTCAAACGATAAATGAGGGCAATCCTCATAGGCGCCTCCAATTTAGTGACAGGATTTGCGATAAAGAACAGTTGACTGATTTGATTGTTTGATCTAATGAGGCTTCTTTTAAATCTAATGGAACCATCAGTCGCCACAGACACGTGTATTGACCAAGAGAAAATCCCAATGTTATGAAAGTAGGAATTGCTAATTTTCCTGGGTTATCAGTGTGGTGTGGTTTGTCTGTCAGAGGACTTGTACGGCCATTCTTTTTTAAAGAAACAGTGATAGGTGCTGCATACCTTAACATGTTGAAGGAAGCAATTGTGCCACATGCTCCTCAGCTCTACTCAGGTGAAGATTACCTTTTTAAAAAAAGACGGCACACCTTCACATTACCATCGAGACGTACCGCAATTCTTGGATAAAATATTTGTTGAGAGGTGGATAGGCAGACAAAGAAGCATCCAGTATCCACCCATATTTCCTTCTTTTACTCCATTAGACTTCTTTCCGCGAGGAATTCTGTCTACACCACAAAACCACAGACGCTGGATGCCATGAAAACGGCGATTGTGATTGCTTGTGAATCCATTCCTCTGGAAAACACTTCAACATGTTTATCTACCTGTTCCACAGCGTTGCAGACAATATATTGCTGCCGATGGAAGACATTTTGCACGTCTTCAACATTAGAATATCATCAGTAATGTTTTAATTATCTTTGTGACTTAAAATTTTATTTTTGTTATTTTTGTTTGTGTTATTAGTTTAAACAATGTAAACCCCTTTGTGGGGCGGGGCACTCTGTATTTTACGTATACTTGTTATATAGTTGTTCTGTACCGAAGTCATTCACCTTTCATGTCTCCCTTCAATCTGTAATCCCTAAACTGGCCCCGTTAATGAATACTCACTATGTAGTAGAAACTGTCGGCATATATGATAATTGTCTTTCCTCTTTCTCCACTTCTTCCCCTTAAAATACAGATGCCGTTAAAAATTTTACAATCAATTTTAACAAAACTCTGCGCAGTGCTTTGCGTCAGACTTTATTAAAAATAAAAAAATACGACTCACAGCGCTTCTTTATATAAGTCGGAGTAAGCACAAATTAATAATATGTATATAATCCTCAATTTGGAAACTTTACAGCATTAATTATCATTAAAAATTTTTATGTATAGTAGATTTCTTCCTCAAAGAAACAACATATTCGTTTCCTCAAACATTTTGATTTGAAATATATTTACTTAGATTTACAATAGTTGCTTTTGATTTATAAGTGTTTTAGCAATTCTGTTTGTTCTTTGGTTCGAAATTTATTTAATATTTATTTAGCACATTGTTTTGAATTTACCCAATACCTGTTCTGATTTACTAAGAATTCTTTTTATAATATTCATTTTCAATTTTTGTTTTAGAATCACGCTGGAGCAGATTGTGACGATTTATTTAAATAAAAAAAGTTTATAAAAAATCCTTACTTTGTTGCACTTTTAAAGAATTTTAATTAAATTAATTTTTATTTGGCACTTTCTTTTGAGTTATTTAAAAAAATTCACAGTCATCCAAATAGAATTCAGAAGCCTGGCTCTGTTGAAAATTCTTCGACTGCTCCTTGAAAAAGACCAAGAATTTTCAACAATTTATTACACACTATTTTGTATTAATTTTTATGTTAATTTTTTGTATTAATTTTATTATCTTATATTAATTATATTACCTTATTTAATTGCTTTTGTTTCAGTTTTATGTGCGTATTTCTTGTTACATTGTTAGCCCCTTTCTTGATTTAATTTTTGATTTTTATGATTATCTCTAAATACTCGTACATTATTATTATTATATAAGAAGGGCTCGCAAGAGACAAAATCCAGAGATATCCCACTCCCAATAGAATTTTACTTTTGGTGCAAAGTTCAGATTACGTTTTCTACGTACACTTTTCGATAACTTTCACAATAATATTTATTGTAATTTAGTTTTAGATTTTCCTTTTGTTCCCCGAGAAAAGCGCATCATTCTTCTCAGGCTCGGAGCAGATAAAAAAATATATTCTTTTATTTATAATTTGACAAATCACAGATTATTTTTTCCTCACAACTGTAGGCTAGACAATGGCTCTTCTACAATATTATCTATCATATTTCGCTTCTGGTGTATTTTGTTTGATATGCAAATCTGACATGCTGCATACAGTTGACTGCTCTAACTCACACTAAATATGCTCGAAAAATTTCTCTAACAAAATCGTGTAGCGTAAATTGCATGCACTTCTTTTTACTTTTTTGTTTAGTTGCTCCAAGGTCAATATAGTAACCTTCAAGTTATTCAATCCTTACATTTTAGATATTTTCTAGCGGTTTCTTAGAGACGTCTAGGCGATACATGTTCGATGTCCATGGATATAAATATTTATTTAGTGTAAAGTAGGAGCATTATACACTAAATAAGGCAGCAGATCTGTATTTAAAAATGGTTAGAAACCAATCACAAGAGATCACTAATCTAGTCTCTTTAAGCAAACACACTGCCTTCGCAATCTTTGAATCGCCTTTTTTATACCTAATGGTCTTCTAGAAATAAACTTTATTTCTTAATTGGATTAACAATTTTTCGGCCCGGAGAGAAATTATTGAAAAGTGAAAATATAAATATCGTTAGAGAAGTCTAATTTTTTAAAAACGTGTTTTAAAGTCGCTTTAAGCGAATCGTGTCAAGTCTAATTTTTTTTTAAATAAATTCTCCAATACACAAATCAATATATTTTTTCTCACTTAATGTGATAAGTTTAAGTTTTCTCGGTGATAGTTACGACTCTGCTTAAATAATGCATTTTACTTACTGTGAACAAATGGATTGGTCAACTTGTTGCTTTGGTGGGGGAAAAGGGGGTGTATTCTCTGTCCACTTATAATTTTATGTCTATGGGTAAAATCTAAGAGCTAGTTAATTAAAATAGTATAAATTACTTACACGTTTTTGTATATAGTGAAAATACATACGTTTTAAAACAAAATGTTAAATTATGTTACTTCCATAAAAAGAAAGTTACGTATTTATTCTCCAATATCCTACGATGCAGAAAATTATTATCTGCTTGCCACGCACATAAGATGAATTATGTTTTTAGGTACGTGGCGCTATTTGATTAGTACGTTACGAATTTTACATGTCAAAGGATGTAAAATTCTTGGTACATGAAATTATTATGTTTCCATCATTCATATTATCATCTAAGTTGAAAAAATGTTGTGATATTTTCCAATACATTTCAGTTTCTATAATCTATAAATTTTCAGTTCCTATATAGTAAGAATTAACAGTTATTACACATATAAAAAAACAATAAACAATATCTGTAATAAATTAAGACATGAAAATTAAACTTACCAGGACACAAAAGATATGGTATTCGTTTTTGTTATCCCTAATCTTTCGACGATAGGTGGGAATCCGTAACTCATTCAGGACAGAGAGCCGCCAGTTGCGCAAAAAATGAAGAACCACAAAAACGTATTTCAGCAGGCGGCGGAAATAGCGGCTTCAGCTTATGAGGCAAACTCAGGACAACACACCGAGTCGGCTTCGACAGTCGGCAGGTGGGTTACCTGAAACGCAATACAGAAGGAAAAATATATTATGACGAAGACACGTGCTTATGCGTAACGTCATCGCTGCGCGTGCAACAAACTCCACCCTAATACAAAAACGATGGATTATCAAATCTCTTTTAACAATGTTCTCACACTAGCGGTCCCCAGAAGCAATTTTATGCGCCTCGCGAATACATTTCACCTGAGTAGCGGAAACTCTGTAAATGCAGCTAATTAATTTACAGTATGATATAAATCTTATTATTCACTGCAGCTAATTAATTTACAGTATGATATAAATCTTATTATTCACAGCTAATTAATTTACAGTATGATATAAATCTTATTATTCACTACTGTAAATTAATTAGCATACTGTAAATACAGATTTTATTACCTTTTATTTACACTTGTCAAATATAAATGAACTCCGTTATCAATTTCTGCACTAAGAATCGCTTTGATTGGTAAAACTTCTATAGCTGACCAATTTTTTTTTTTTTTTTTTTTTTTTTTTTCACAGCTGAAAATTAATAAGAAAAAATCTGATGTGTGCACTACATGACTTCCTTGTACGGAATATTAAATTATATCCACTTTTTCTTGCATTTCATTTAAATTTATTGGATTGAATTAAATCTACTTCGTCGATAGCGCATAATCCACAATAGAATAAATGCACTCTTTAAAATTCACTATATTTATTTACCATAGCGACACTCTGGCCCTAGGTTCACTTAACAGCTCTACATTTCAATAATTTTTTAACAATATCTATATATACATCTGTAAGAAGTTTTCGACCTTACGGCCTTTACTTCCATAAATCTCCTATCCCATCTATTAGTCAATTTTTAACTCAGAGTGCACAAAATTTATATCATCTTAAGAATTATCTAATCGTTGCCACATGTTCTATTCAATACTATAATAAATCTAGAAGGATGTATAAAAGAAATTCAGCAAACAAAACAAAAAAGAAACAGTTTTTCACAGACATTTTAGTATTTCTCATTCAATTAATTCAGCTCTCACTTCGCAACAAGGCAAAAATACATGAAAACTCAAATTATCTATATTAAAAATTACGAAGTAAATCTTAAACACTTATTTCCTCGAAAAAAATTCCAGAAAGGATTAAGCATGATTTAATTCGCAATAATAAATGAAGGCGTTAGTCTCTTTAGATCGGCAACAAATCTGCTGTTTCAAATGTAAACTAACATATCCGACATGTTTATTTAAAAATTAGGCTTAACCGCACTTAAACAGCTTTTAAATTGTTGATAATTCTACAAATATTACTTGCAGATTTCCTAAAGGCATAAAAACCTTAACCGGAAGATAAGAGCAACATAATTCAATCATTTTTAAAGCAAAAAATGCACAATTTACAAACATATAAGAATAAAGAAACTGAGATCAATGAGCCGAGTAACAGAGTGGATATATATATACATATATATTTATATACTTTTGGTGAGGCCGATTGCAACCAAAATACGAGGTGCACATCTACACGTTATAGCAGTCCTACATACAAAATTTCAACGTTCTGAGGCTACTCGTTTTTGAGTTATGCGAGATACTTACATACGTACGGCGAAAACATCTTGATGTTGAAAAGCGGTCGTGGATAAAAAAAGTTTAAGAAGCGCTGATCTACATCATAGTAAGATTGCTTTCTTTACTTAGTTTCAAATCTTACGTTGGCGTGTTCTCTTCCGCGTTGGTTACATCAACCATAAACATAAAGAACCTCTTCTAAATTATACGAACTTCGCTAGACTAACCATTTTAGCGAAACTGGAATCGGCCAATCGCTTTCTGAAACAAAACGATGCACACCGGCAAACTTTGGCAGACTTTGCGAAAATGATTATGATGAAACTAGTGAATTTCCTACAAATGCTGAAATGAGTGATATCTTCCAAACATTAAGATTAGAGGTACAGAATAGGTCAAATAATTTCCAGAAACATTACGAACAGTAAATAAATTAACTTTTACTTAAAGCTTGCAGATATTCCACTACTAACGACTTTCATCCCATTTAAATTAAATTATTTTTATCGTCCTAGCTCTGTTTATATTAAAGTAAGTTTTTCATGGGTATTTGGAGGATATTGTTTCCATCTTTTAATCTTATCAAAATAACCGTGGAAAAATGCCATCATATTATAAATTCCTGGGTGGTATTTAAAATTAGACACACACAAAACTTGTTGATTTTGCGGGCGATCCGACAAAGGCCCCTGTTCTTAGAGCTAAAGCTCCCCCCTCCGAAAAAACATATCCTGTAAACATCTACGCCATACTGTGGCTACTTTTTTTTACCAAATTTTAAATTTTGTATAGGTATGTTCTCTTCCAATGAGGGATCCCTCCTAATATTAAAATTAGGGAGCATGCAGAAATGCTCTGAACATTTCATAAATTAAATTTTGTATTAAAGACATTATGAATAGTTCATAAACAAACGTCTACATATTCTCAATTATAAATGCTGTGAAAGAACCAATTCATACGTTTCTAGCTATATTTATATTAAATTAGTTAAATTCCATTACTATTTTGAAGGATATTTTATCTCATCGTTTAATATGATGTTATTTTCTAAAATGTTTATTCTTTAAATAAAAATACGAGACCTTCATAAATGCTTTATTTCGATGGGTGTATATCACGTGGTCAAATTTGGGGAAGAAAAAGGGTTAAGTTTAACGATTTCGCAGTAAAACAGATTTATTTTCCAGAAACAAGCTTGACTGGAATGTTATCCTTTTTCCAAGCCTCCATTCTGTTAAAGTAGTCTTCCTGAATTAAATAATAATGCAATAGCAGTAAGTATGTTTAGAGGAAACAAAGTCTGATGTGGACATCACAGAATTTCCTTGTACAGCGTATTAAATCATACACATTTTTTGCTGCACTTCATTTAAACTTATTTCCTCGAATTTCATTAGAGATATATTTCTCATCCAATCAATTCAGTTCTCACTTCGCGGTACGGCTAAAATACATAAAAATTCGAAACACCTTCATTAAAAATTGTAAAATACAGAAAAAAACCCTAAAACACACACACAAAATAAATAAATAAAATAAATCAATAAAAACAGTATTTAAAAAAATTTTTTTGCAATTACTAAAATAGCAATTTTTTTTTAATTTTAAGCAATTAAAAAAAACAATTATTGCAATTAAAATTACAATTTGTACGCAAGACCAGGGATTCCGGCCCAACGGGAAGACAAAATTTTCGGTGCACACAAAAAGAAAAGCCAACTGATTCCTTTGGATGAACGAAGTTGGTGCTTCAAATGATGTTCACACAACGAAGTTAGTGCACCAAATGATGTAATTTACTATTCTACTGAAAGTTTCAAATGTAAAATATAGCCACCACGTTAGGCTTAGCGCCACTTTTAAACTGTTGACAATTCTATAATTATTGCATGCAGATTAACTAAAGGCATAAAAAATTTAAATAGTACGGGGAATACCAGACATTTACAAGCAGGTGATCTAGGTGTTGTCCCTTCCTACTAACTTTCCCGAATAGCCTAGTCTTGGAACAGAAAAAGCCCGGCTCAGGCAACGCCGCGAGTACTACCAACTGTTTGTCCTCATGTCCCGAATGCTTCTGCATGGTGGTACATAAATATTACTACTGAGACCACATATTTAACATATTAGTTTCAACTTTGTTACATATTGTTAAATCACGTGAGTTACGATTGTCTTCACATGTTTGTATGATTCAGTACTTTGTTGGTTGAAGTTCTACAGTTCTTTCAGTCAGTTCCGTGATGCTTACATTTCTTGCAAGTAATTCTTTTTACACAGCGTTCGTATTTGCATGCATTTTATAGTAATCACATAGTTTGCAAAAGTCCATATTATAAAAATTATGCGACATAATTCTATTTAACATATTGTTGTGAATATACATGCTTTAGTGCAGTTATATTAATTTGAATTTTAAATTTATTTTATGATTGTACAAGTACTCAATTATTATATAAGGAACAAAAGAATAACATAATTCAATATCTTTTAAAGCAAAAAATGCTCAGTTTACCAACGTATGAGAATAGAAAAAAACACAGCTCACCAAGCCACAAAAAAAGGTGAGGTGCACAACCAGATACTATAACAATCCCATATGCAAAATTTCAACTTTCTACGGCTAATATGCATACTTACGTATGTACGTCACGAAAAAAAAGCCTTTCTGAATCCATTTTAAATCCATTTCATAATCCGTTTTGGAACCATTCCATTATATCCGTACGCACCGATATCACCCCACCCCCCCAAAAAAAAAATCGTGGATTCGATCAAGTGAATATTTTCATCGAAACACGATACCCGAAATTTTCCGCCGTTACAACACTTCCTTTATTTCGTACAAGGAAGTAAAAAGAGTATATATTTTTGCTGCATTTCAAAAATTAAATGCTTAAAAGATGCTACAGCAATTCGGAAGAGATATCCGCAGGAATTTAAAATAAAGACACAAAATGAAATCGCTTGTTTTAGTTACGAAGTTGATGACCTTGGTTATAACCACATAGCAATATAAAATATTCCTCATTTAGAACTAATTACATATGCGGAAGTTGAATTTAAAAACTGAGAACAAAATTTAAAACAAATTAGGAATTAAAGTGAACATCAGCTTTCTTACTTCATTACTACTCAGTTTATAAAATAATTAATTGCCATAGAGTCAATAACAGATAGTTAGAAGTACAAAATGAACTCGAAGTTACCATAACACTTAAAGAAAAAATTTTAATAGTAATAGAGTTGTATAAAAAGAGAGATAAATATAAGGAAATGAAAATTGTTGGACGTTAATGTTCTGGCCAGAGAAACTTTCTTCTCTTACCCTTTTTAAACTTCCGTCGCCCATTATTCGATGTCTCCATTATCTACAATTCCTACGACGCAGCCTTTCAAAATGCAATGAGTGCAACTGCATCCTAATAAAAAAATATGTTTACGTA